CTTCTCCCTAAAAATATGCTCCAGGTCTCAATCATCTTGTGTCATAATCTGTCAATCATTAGTGATCTAACAAGAGACAGGGGTATGTAGCTCCACCAGAGCACTAATGCACGACATGGCACTAATGTCCTTTGTCAAGGCATTAATCTACATTTGCCGCTCCATACCCAGCAGAGAATTTGGGACATGTTAGGCTGACGAAATCCTATGCCATATCCCCTCACGGTGACCTTGGTAGGAATACACCCAGGGAGTTGAGATGTTGCACATTGTGCGTGAATAAATCTGATGACAGGGGTAATATTATCTGTAAAGCGCTTAGAAACGGTATTTCGAATTAAGCACTTTAAATATACATATTATTATCCTACCTTTAACTTGACATGAAAGTTTGTTATGAATTCATCATTGTTTCCTAGTCTATTCAGGAGACAGGTATGACGACATAGACAAGATTCGTCACCCCGATGATATCCGGAAATTGATCATGTTCGGATGCTACTAAGGTCACACATCACTTCTTATTCAATCTTCATGTTTTGTCTCGGTTATCCCACACACTTTTTTCTTCCTTTCCCCGTCTCTCTCCCTCTTTCTTTCTCTCCCCTTTCCCTCCCCCCTCTCTCTCTCTCTCTCTCTGTCGTCTCCCATTTCTTTCTCCCCTTTTCCCCTTCAATTTTAAGGTTTCCGTGCTTGCTAAAACAGACGTTTAAAGCATCCCCATCCCGTTCGCATTCTTTCACACGTTACCACGTTCGAATTTACCCCTTTTCTTTACTCCAACTCCCCCTTTTGTCCTCCTGCAAGTGTCCTGATAATGACAGCCACCCCATTCCTCTTCCATCGTTTTTCAATTTCTTTATCTGTACATGTACTTTACTCCTCCCCTCTCCCCTCTTTCTCTCTGCCTGTCTGTCTGTCTGTCTGTCTGTCTCATTCTCTGTTTCTGTCTCCTTTCTCCCACCTTCTTTCTCTATCTCTTCAATGTGGCGTGTTTGGTGTTACAATATGTTCAACTCTCGCTCTTTCTTCTTTGCCTCTATCTGAACTTTTCTCTTTGCATAGCTCTCTCTATTATTTTCTTCTTTCTTCCCCCTCCCCCTATGTATCTCGATCGATCTTACGCCCCTCCCCTTCTCTCTCTTTCTCTCTCTCTCTCTCTCTCTCTCTCTCTCTCTCTCTCTCTCTTTGTCTTTGTCTCTCCCCATCATCATCATCGTCATCGATCTCTAGCTGACGAAACGCCAAGGTCGACAGAAAATCCTCTGCATGCAGCTCGAGAATGTTTGCGAACAACGAACTTCCCCTCCCGACATCTCTTGTCAAGCCCGTTGCAATGTGAGACCATGTCACCGTATGACCTATAGTCTAAGGCTTCGGAAAGGATGAATTACATCTTAATTAGGTTTTTATCTTCTCCTACCTGTTCATAACCACTGCTATATATTATGTCCTTGAAGTTTGATACTAATGCCGGAGTTTACATATACGTGGGCCGGTGAGGCCTTTCCCAGACCGTTCATGTTTGGACTATGAAAAATATGGATTTGATCTGAAAATATTGTCACATATTCTTAGACTTAGGAACACATGTAGACTTCAGTAACATTTACCTCGGTAACATTGTTGAATGTCGATGAAAAACTGTGTAATTTTTGTATGAAATGTAACTTATTATATTCTATCTACTGTACTCACCCTCTAACAGGCAAACAATCCTGAGAAAATTCTCAAACCACAAAGATATTTATGGGTTTTTTCTCCATTTATTTTGCTGAAAACTTTGGTTAACCAAAAAAGGTGGCGTCACCTGTGTAGCAGCTGACACGCCCGACTTCCATTTTAGATGGAGGTTCCCGGGCAAGATCCGCGAATATCCGCTAATGACATCAAAAGGGCAATTGATGACAGTTGGGATTTGACCTCTGATGTCATAGGTCATACGGTCAAATGCCCAAGGGAGCTGCGTCTACATGGTCAAGTTCAGAGAGCCTACTTTAACCGCGGGGATCCGTGGCTGGTGTTTTCTAGATCTGAAAGGTAGGGCCTACATTTTGGGTTGAATTGTGAAAGTATTTCATTCAGTGTTTGGACAAATTTAATCTGAAAGTTGATATAAAAAGATCATTTGAACTCTCATTCGCAGGTCTTAAAGGTACATGTGTTTGAATTGTGAATGGACTCAAATAAGAGCTTTGGCATATGTTAAAGGATCACAAAGACTTTCCAGAAATCAACTTAAAGACAAATTCAATACCCTTTGGGCTTAGCGCCTAAAAATCAATGATAAATGGTTCTAAATATAATATTTTGAGCGCCAATGTTGTTTCCAAAATACCTGACGCCCTGTCACGTCCATGACATAATGTATGGTCATAACTATTTTTATAAATGGATTTCCAACCCTCCTGCGATTTCCGATGATGTCATGGTGACAGCTACGATCCAGAATGAATTATTGACCATGCAGTCCTCACTAAAGTCCTTATCAAAATGTCCACTGAAAGTAAACAATAACAAATTTGCTTGTTACTTTGTTTTTACCATTTGATTGCTTTTTCGTACGTTCAATTACCCGTGACCGCCACAAAGTCTATTCTCTAATAGGCCTGTTTACTAATGATATGCGAGTGACGTCATAATCCCTCGCACCCTAGCGATTGTTACTACGTAGGGCAAGCTTTGCGTGGTGCGGCACGGTCGCCACATTGTTTTTCCATGCCCGCTACGCTATACACATACAAAGCCATTGCTAGCGACCGCGACGTTTTTTCACCCTAATTTCTACAATGGCATCGCCTTCGACATCGAGTTGTAGTTCCAGCAAGCCGTTTTCGCAGTGGACAGTGAAGGAGCTCACCGATTATTTAAGAAAGAGAGGAGTTACGACATCAGGGTACAACAAACAGAAACTAGTTCAACTTGCGACTGCTGTGGCCGATATCGCTTTGCCCCAAGACCCGGACCTTGCGAGCTTCGACTCCGCACGGTCGCTGCGGGAGAAGTTGGAGCGTGCGGGGTGCTCGTTCGACGACCCAATGAAAATCATCGGCTACACCGAGAACTTTGAAAGTATACCAGATTTCGGATTATACGACATTTTCAACTACCTGATAGTAAATAGAACTGACTACGACAGAAAGAAACTCAAAGCATATAAATCGTTTGAGGACTATCGTCTATTTGCTGACGGGAATGTGGAGCAAATGAAGTTCAATGAAGTCTCCGAGGCCAGCTCTGTGAACGGGATGAAAAACACACCATTCATATGGGGTCTGTCTGCGTACCGTGAATCGCTGTTACACGTGCCGTAACAGCAATGCTTACCTCCCATTTTTGCGATATTTCGTCGGATTTCGGAAAATAAAATCGAAGATTTGTCATGTACAACTGAGAAAAACTATATTTATTTTAATTATATACCCTAAGGTTGGAAAACAAACAGTTTTAAACGAAGTTTATTAGGACGATGATCAGCCTTTTTTTCCTCGCATTCCCCACATCGCCGTATACAAAGTGTGTGTAGCAGGGCCGTAGCAGACACTGCGCTCGGTTTGTTTGCCAGAGCTTACAACCGTGTGCAAATTTAAAGGTCCGTGAATACATTAGTAAACAGGCCTATTACCTACAGCTATTTCTTTACCACCATGACCCACTCATTTTTGTTCTCGGCCTCTCACCTCTTGTTTTCAGATCTACACTCTCTTTCCATTCTATTTCTCTCTCTCTCTCTTTCTCTCTCTCCCACCCCTCTCTCTCTCTCTCTCCCTCCCTCTCTCTCTCTCTCTCTCTCTCTCTCTATCTCTCGCTATGTCCTTAATAACACATAATGTATGAACCTGGTATCTTAATCTTTAGAAAGTCAAGTTCTTCATGCTTCTTTGAAATCATGGTCACAACGTTATTGCACCGGGAAACCAAGTGCTGACGGAAGATCTCAATCAAAACTATGAACGACTTTGAAATTCGAAATGTTTATTGAGTGAAACCTGAAAAGAAAGGGACCCTAATATACAAAAGCGGCGCAAGACATTTTGATCGGGGGGGGGGGGGGCGGACCAAATTTTCCGACAAAACAACCCCCTTCAAATTAAAACCAGGATGAAAGGAGGTACAGTATTGTCCTCTTTTTTTTCGAATGTCCCGATCGAGATAAAAAAAAAAAAATTGCAAACATCCCCCATTGTAATGAATTGGAATATGTCTATGTGAATTTCGACCGCCCCCCCCTTCTTCCCTCCACCCCTTTCTTGCCCTTTTAGCGACAGCCATGCGGAATCTGTCATCTGAAACATTTTATCTGGATACTGCTGAATGTGTGAAATAAGAAGAATGGCCCAAATTGAATTCCTGATCTGTGGAGTCTATTTCTGGTGTGTAACAGCCCACATGAAAGTGCCGAGAAATGAGGGAAATTTTCTTCCAAGGCCTTGGGAAAGGAGTAAATACTTTGTTTTCTGTATCTCCGATAAGTGCAAAGATACCTTGTTTTCTGTATCTCCGATAAGTGCAAAAACATTTTCAAAAGTACTTTGTTTAAAACTTCTTTTTGAACCATTCTTGGTCATAAAAATGGATGGATTTATATACAGAGATACCCCCTCTTCTTTCTCCTCTCTATTCCTCCTTCTCTCTCTTTCTCTCTCTATTTCTCTCTCTCTCTCTCTCTCTCTGTCTCTCTCTGTCTGTCTCTCTCTCTCTTTCCTCTCTCTCTCTCTCTCTCTCTCTTTCTCTCTATTTTACTCTCTATTACCCTCTCTCTGTTTCTCTCTCTCTATTTCTCCATATTTCTTTCTCTTTATCTGTCTTTCACATCTGGCTTTGACCCGTTTATCTTCAACTCTGCCTAAACATGTAATTTTCACAGATAACATCTGTTTTGCTTGCTTCTTTGTTTCTTTCTTGTTTCGTCGTTTTTTTCTTTTTGTTATGCAGTCATGGTTTCACTCAAAGTAAATAAAACAAGTTTTATCCAGCGAAAAATAAAACGTAAGACATGATTTAGAGAATTTGCCTGATTTTAATATTTTAATTACATATTCATCCTTCCGATCTACAAATTCTGTCGTCATAATTGTCACACTGGTTCGTTATAAAACCTATTAAATATTGTGAACAAAATATACTTGATTTCATACTTTTTAAGAACTTAAAGTTAATGAATACAGTCATTTTCCCCAAAAAATGTTTGATAGAAATTTAACAATTTGTTGAAATAGTAGATAGGGTACGAACAAACCGAAATAACTTAGAACACACAGTATTCATTCATCAAGAGCAACACCTGCAATTTACACATAGCATTTAAAAACAAAATACACATCACAAAAAATGGACGTAAGTTATCGATCATGGCGCCGTCGCGGCCACAAGAATCCGTTAGTAACAGATAAAAAAACATCGAACTCAAGGGTGGATCTTGAAAAGGGCCCTTGGAATAGCGATGGCGGGCGCGGGGGTCGGGCGGTTGGGGACTTGCACCTTTTATTTTTCAGGCCAAAACGGATTGATGCTCGTTCTAATTCTTCCTCCCTATTTATCAACACCTGTAACCCAAACTCCTCAATGAACTTTCACAATCGCCTTTAAAATATTTTCCAACACAAATCTTATACACCCATTTGAAATGTTCATACACTTAAATGTTTAAATCTGTCCTATACAATCTACTTCATGGAACCACAATTTACTGTGCTATCTACAAGACCTCTAAAGAACAGCTGGTGCAACGTTACATTTCTTCACTCCAAATAGTTAAGTACTCTGTCCTTTGCATGAAATACTCTCCAACACTGTAGTTTTTACCCAAATGCCAATGCAATGCTGCATAAGCACGCAACATTGATATTTTCGCATTGGTCAGGGTGCAAATCTCGCCGGTGCACGTGTCATACAAACACCACATAGCATCACTATCAGCAGACGTGTCATCACTATCAGCAGGACGTGTCTTAACTATCAGCAGACGTGCGATCACTATCAGCAGACGTGTCGTCACTTTGAGCAGACGTGTCATCACTATCAGCAGACGTATCGTCATATAACATGAGGTTGACAATTGCATGGTCTCACACAAGTAAACTGCATCAGTGGAAAAATAGTTTTATTGTCCAGGGGAAAGTTCTTCAAAAGAGGCGCCCTCATCTGTCCATCCAAGGAACCCACGCCCCACCATGATACTTGGGGTTTCCTCTTTCGTCCTTTGGACCTAGATGTATAGGAGTAACGGCAGTGTTCTGGTAATCCTGAAGACGCTTTAGCAAACGGTAAACAATTTTCTTCTGGTATGGCGCCATGTTTTGTCTCTCATTGGGGTCTTTCTTGATGTTGTAAAGTCGGACGGGTGTGCTCCATCTTATATCGTTCATCTCTGGAGGCATTTCGGACTCCTTTGGAGGCTCCCAGAAATCTTCATCTGCAGAGCGAACAACAAAGAGCCACATGATGATATCGCCAAAGGCCAATCAACAACATGTAATAGACTATAATTGACAAGGTTCAATGAAATTCACCATGTTTAGGACACAACAAAGAACATTGTGATGACCTTGTTCAACACCAAAATACAGATATGTGATATGTTATAATTTTTCAACATCCAATCATCGACAAAAAGTTCCTTTGAACGAAAAACTACTTGCTCTTTAGGTGGGTGTTTGAGTGACATGCATTTATGGTGGAAAATAAAGATTCCCTGTCTGTACTGTGAAAAAACACCCATCCAATATAATGGACTTAGAATTCAGTCAATAGGGTTATGGGGAAGGACAAACATTGGAAAAGAGTATTACGAGGTTAAGATAAAAAAAAAAAAAAAAAAAAAAAAGGAGAAACAGGAGGAAGTACTGAAACAAATACAAAGTCAAACTTACGAGGTAAACCTGTTGAAAGTTTCCAATTGCCGACCCGTATAGAAGCCCTCATGGTTGCATTGAATGGAAGATTGCTCAGGGCACCAAAGTCCCTCTCATTTTCTCTCGTCCAGTGAGCAGCGGGATAGATGGGGTCGATGTTATGCAAGATCTCATGGCGGTTGGATTCTGTTCCTTTCCTAGATCATGAGACATGGTAACAATATTGTTAGATCTAATATTACAGTTAAGAGCAGATGTCTAGGACTTAATTGGACAGTAATAACCTACAATTCATCTTGTAAGATTGAGATCAAAGTTTACACCGTTTACACTGGTAAATGACATTACTCCCCTGTGCGTTCAAATCCACTTGGTACCTTTGAACCTATTTTATCAAATACCGGCAATTGCTATAAAAGGGAAACATTAAAGAACTGAGCATTTCCTATTTTAGGAAGTATTGTTCCTGATAGTCACACCTGGTAACTCGACAGTTTTGATGGGACAATGGATAAAGGCCTCGTGTAAAGGAGAGCCATGGCCTACAATTATTTTTTTTATTAAACATGCACTTCTCTGAAAGAGTAAACGGACAATTCGGTGTGGAGTGAACATAACCAAATCGGTTACTCAGGGAAAACAAACCTAAAGGTTGACATATTATTGCAATTTCGTTGATCCCCTCTACCAGACACAAGACTCTCATGACTGATCAATAGCGAAACAAAGATATGCAACAGATTTAAAAAAAAAAACTAGTAACTCACGAGATAGTTTTCCATTGGTTGATGCCATCCAGAGGTTTGTTTGTCACCAGCTTCCCACCAGCGATCCCCTTCACGATGGTCGGGAACCAGTCACTGACGTGTATGAGCTGCCGGTTGACCGTGCCTCGTAGCTCCCATGGTATAAGGGGGCTATGAACGAACCCAACGCCTCGTATACCACCCTCCCATAGGGTGCTCTTACCGCCTCGGAGGGGCCAGTTGTTCCCGACGGACCGTGGCTTCGGTCTCCCACCGTTATCTGCATGGAGAAAAAAAGGAAAAAAAGGGTTGAATTAAAATCGAAGTTGAACACATTCGAATGCCATTTAGAAAAGTTATCAGAAGAATGTGGAAGAAAGAGAGAGAAGATTTTGGTGCCAGAGATGCAATGCTCTTGCCCAAACTCACTATAAAATGTAATGGAATCGGTGTTTACAGTCAATAAGCAACATGGGACAAGAAGAATAAATGAAGCTTAGAAGTCAGGTAGAATAACCACCACCACCACCATCACCACCACCAAATATTGTTTTAATCGATTGTATACACGTTTGTAACCAATAAGACATTCATGTTCTATCCATGGTTTGACAAATTGGCCAAACTTCTATCTTCACTTCTTCACTTTTCATAACCCCGTTCTCACCTTACCCCATCACCCCAAGCACCTATTCATCAACACATCTTCATATTTTCATGAAACATTCTCTGTTCCATTTGCACACCACGACTCTACTCCGATTCTCGACCTTGATAATTCAGCTGCATTTCCTATCCGACATGCCTCTTCCTAATCACTCCTGAGTGTTTCAACCCTGCTCTCATGTCGATGTTCCGCCCAATTTCGTAGACGATAGTCTGCTGTCTTGTCGGAGAACATTCATGTACCCAAGGCCACTTCCAGGTAACTCCTAATCTACATGACCTGATTCTCATGTTCTACTTCACCAAGCGAGCGGAAGGATTCCATGTTTTCGTTCATTGGCTGCCGTAGGCCCTTCAACAGATCCACTGATTGATGGCTTAATGGGTTAAAGTGCGTGAAATTTGATGTGCACATTCCAAGGCCAAAGCCTGTCTGAGGGATGATGCCCGTTGTCATGGTAACGTGACAATGTGACAGAGAATGTTGTCGACAGAAGATACACGGTGTCTTGACTTTTGTTAATGTGATAATGATCATGATAACGGCAAGACGCCTCTTCTCTTTGCTTCAATGCAATGTTTGATAGATGTGATTGATTATTACAGGATGCTGAGGTGGGGGGGGGGGGGGGGGTGGGTTCAGAATCATCCATACCTTCATCTATATATGATTGTGAAGAGCTGTAGTACTTCTAAATCTCAGAGTGTACCTTAAGAACTCACCGTATGTACTATGTATGTATCTTGTCATTAAAGGTATGGTCCAGTTGTGGTCATGCGATTGCATTGTGAAAGAAACGTTGTGGAATCGATCAGAAAAGGTTGATCATCTTGCATACAAGTATTAAGTATTGGTGTGTACTGCAAGGTTCTGGAATCATCAAAGTGATAAGAAATTTGGCCCATTCTTGGTAGAGTTACAAGCACTGTACACAGAAAGGATAGATATAACAATTTACCAAATATATCAATTAGTAGGCGGTTTCCCGGCAAAATTCGTATCATCACGTATTATTCAACACATATTTTTTCACATGATTGGTAATAACAGCTTTCATTTCATATTTTGAGAGGGGCGTTTCCAAAACTGGTCTTTACCTTTAAGGTTTAAGAAAAAACATTCACGTACCGCTGTGTTAAAACTTGAAACGAGGAGGCGCGATAGCTCAGTCGGTAGAGCAATGGTCTCGTAATCCAGTGACCCGGGTTCGAAACCAAGGCGATGCACCAGTGCCCTTTGATAAGGCATTAATCCTCATTACCAGGTCCCTCGGAGAGGACCTAAATCCGTCAGCCGTCTGGTTGCTTACTTACAAGCATTTACGTTTTCTTAGCAGTCAGGTAATATAACAACCACCACCAATATCTTACCTGTAGTGAATATGATGACGCTGTTATCATAAAGACCGTTATATTTTGAGTGCCTCTGTGACGTTCCTGACCGCTTCATCCAGAATGTTGACTAGTCCTGCGTACCTGCGTCGCTTGGAGTTGTGGATGATACCCTCGTAAGGTTTGGCGTATTGTTCGGGAACATTGAGTGGTGTGTGAACGGCCTCGTAGGATAGGTAGAGAAACAATGGCTAAGAGAGATAGGGAAAAATAATATGTTTAGAAAGTAAAATCCAAAAAAAAATGTGTTCTAGTTGAATATTTTGATTTGATCGAGATATACAATAAGAGCACACTAGGGAAAATAGGTGAACCCGAACTCGGATCTTTTTCCAAAACTTATTTCTTTTAGTCTGTCATGGGAAGGTGCCATACCAAAGGATTTCCATGTTTTTTTGTGCCACATCATTATTATTGTCATCATTACTACTGTTATTAGTATTATCAGTATCATTATTAGTATTACTATTACTTGTACCATTGTTATCCTAATTGTCACCGTTATTATTAGAAGTATGGGTAGTATTACATGTAGTTTTAGAGTATAAGTAGTAGTAGTAATAGCAGTAGTAATAGTAATAGTAGTAGTAGTATTAGTAGTAGTAGTATCAGTAGTAGTAGTAGTAGTAGTAGTAGTAGTAGTAGTGTTACTATTATTCCATTAAACTGTTTTTGTAGGTCATTGTGGATTCACATTAGATATTGTCAATTGTGAACATAATAACCAAAATTATGCGATATTTTGTCTCCCGTATTTTTACATTAAATCGACCCGATAACATTTCAGAACAGATTCAAATTCAATCAGAATAAATATAATTTGGGTATAACATTTACCAACACGAACAAAACTAAATTTTGTTGTAAACATTCACCTTATTTCTTGGTTGTTTTCGAATGAGTTGTCTTGCTCTGTTGGTGTAGAGTGTAGTAGAGAAGGTTCCTTCGTGCTTCCAGTATATTCTTTCATTGTAGTACATGGACTTGCCCATAACCAGTTTATCGCCGAAGAGAGCAGTCTTATTGTGAGACCAGTGATCTGCTGAGCCCATAATATTACCTGGTGAGAAAATGTAAACAAGCCTAAAAGTGAGAACAGTATTGGATGAAATTCTTGTAAGATTTAATGCGACACACACCTAACATCACAGACACATTCATTCGAACAGCAAAATCAAATGCAAGGATATTAGCGGCACAAGCTTTCCAGTTTGTGGTCGATGTTTAATATTCCATACACCAACTTACATAAACATTATTTACAAATTGTCCATGTAAGGAACATATGTACATATTCAAATATTCATGATTTTTTATCCGCAATAGAGTGGTTAAGGCTGTAAGAAAAACAAATAGTCAACCTATAGTCTTTGTTTTCCCTCGTCATGTGTCTTTTTTCTAGATTGAAATGTGCGATTTCTGATGAAACTATCATTACCGGAGTAAATTACTATTCAAACAAATAAAGTGCATTTTACAAGATTATACGACATTAGAAAGAACTTCGTGCATTTATATTCCAGATAATGAATATCTTTTGGTCGGGAAAAAAAATATCGGCCGGGAAAAAAATCGGGAAAATGTTTTCCAATCCTGGCTTCAGAATTACTAGGAAGTCATAACATCATAAAATCAACTTCTCGAAAGCCTTTCCTTTTTTGGAAAGTGAAATGATAATTTCAATCGTAGATGGTTTTAATACTCAAGTTACCGAAAATAATCGCAAAACCGTTATTTCCACAACCTCTAATATCCTTCTGGAGGCTATCTTCATGATGACTACATTCTGACCTACATTTTGGGGCCTTCGATTTAATAGTTAAATTACCTGCATTATGTTTTTAAATTTCCTAACTTGTCTTCGATTTAATCTTTCATCCATGACCTAGTTCCGAGACAGCATGTATGACATCTTGCTGTTCCTATTAAACATCAGCCGCGTCTACACATGATCTTCATCGAGCATCAATGAAAAGTGATACAATAGATGATGGCAGTTACATTTAGACCAAGGAGTGTTTAGACTAGACAGTGTATATCGAGGGCATTGGGTCAACAAAATGACGACCGGATGGTATAGGCCAACTGTATATACAGGAACCAAGGCTGACTATAGTTTTAACATTTCTGAGAATTGATATCAGGGTATCGAACATCGTTCATTCCGGCTTAGGAAAAAAAAACGGGGATCAAAATTAGCTAGAAAGAATCTCTTTTGACTGATGTGATTTGACATTTGACTCATTATAACCCATTTCTGTTAACCATTTAGATACAACATTTAACCTCTCTTGACATTAGTATGCAAGAATGGCACGAGAAACATGTGATGAGGGGGGAGGGGGAAGGATAATTGAGACAAAATAAAAATATTCTGAGAAGTAAAACGTAGACTGTATAAACATGATAAATTTCCAGATAACTACCACCACCCCCCCCCCCACCACCACCGCCTCCACCACCACCACCACCATTTGGAAAGGTAACATCCTATTTCAACTTTGCCCTCGAAAAAAGGGAAAGCATGTGGTTTGTCCCAATTTAACAAAATATCCCTTCCAAATTATAGCAAGCTGTTGTCCTATATGTCTTTGGGGATAATAGAGATAGTCCTATGTGAGACATGTTCCTCTAGGGACAGTTGACCAGGACCCCGTTTACCCCATCCTCTTTTCCATGACAAATGACAAATATGCTGATAACCAATCAGAAGCAAGGATTTCAATAGCTTATAACCATTGCTATCATTTGTCACTGATGACAAGTTTTGTGAAGCGGGTACCAACGGGAGCTGTCCTTTAGTTAATGCTGCACACAAAAAAAAGATATTCCTTTTGCAAGATCAAAAATACCTTGCCTCTGTTGCCAACATGTCAAAATATCACGTGACCAACACTTACCGAAGAACGACTCGAAACCACGCCTACTCGGTAAGCAATCCTTCCAGGCGTAACCGAGATGCCACTTCCCCACGGCATGAGTGGAATAACCCTGTTTCTTCAAAGCTTGGGCGAGAGTAGTCTCATCCAGGGGGAGGCAGCACGGTCTACCGGGGAATAAATTTAAATGTTGCATTCCCGTATGAATCTAGAATGAAGAATTAAAAAGAGGAAAACACAATGAAAAGGAAAACATCCACGTGAAATTAAAATAAAGAGTGACCAGAAATATAGCGTACTTGCTAATGATACTCAATTGTTAGATCTGGACAAAGTCATGATGGGGAAAAGATTGACCATGTCCAGCAAAATATGGTCCTCGGGCGGATTTAGGTGACAGTCGGAGAGAACCTAAAGCCGTCGGTCCTATGGTTGCTTACTAACAAGCATTTTGCTTTCTTTAATATCAGTCAGGTAAAATAACCAACCACCACCACCAATTCGGTAAGAGCATCAGACGTGAACGGTGGATCAAAACATAGAAGTTACATAAATGCGCATTAATGATAATAAGGGAACACATCTATTACATAATAGTAATCGAACCTGGTCCTTTTTTGTTAGTAATTAGGAAGATACATCTCACAAAAAAACCAAGAACGATAAGCCGGACGGATCTGGTGATGACTCCGAATCTGCTAGGCGAACCATATCTGCCGTGACACCAGAATAGGCTGATAATGGATAATAACCAACGGCAGAGGAAAATGACACTCATGTTATCGGTTCGAGATCTGGTCACGGTGAAATACGAGTTCGAAGTCAATTTCACAGCTAATTTAATCTGCAAAAAGTCATTTTCTGAAACACAATGCCTTGCCTCAAAACTAATCTTTAATCTAAGGTGAAATTCACTTTTGAAGAAATGACTTTTCAAATAAAACTGAAAGCTATTATCATGTAGCAAAATTTAGAAGCCATGATCACCGTGAGAAACTTGTGAAAATGTCACGTAGAGTGAAAATATCAATCAACCCCTTTAACTTGTCAAGGCCAAAGGCTTTTAATATATTGGTTGTTATGGCAAAGAGAAACAAATTGGAAATTGCATATTATTCTATCATTGTTTATGTCGTCAAAGCATCATCATTCATCACCATCATCACTGTCGTCGCCTTTTATCTAATAGAATATCAAGTTCTTAAATGTATGAAGTGCCTTATATCGGGGCCACGACAACGAGGGGACACTGGCATCATCGGTGGCGGGGGAGGGGGGGGGGGGGGGGGGGGGGGGTATGATCTTATTTCATGGAGAACTTACAAATTAACAAGGATCATTGATTTGGGGTGGAGAAGAAGAGGGTCGTAACGTCTGATTTTTATGTTTCTTTAACCCCCCCCCCCTCCCCCTTTATCTTTTTTTCTTTTTTTTTCTTTTCTTTTAATTGTTAATTAATTGTTATCGCCCCGTGGTCCCCTGGGGCTTCGCCACTGCATGTAGGGCCTCGTTTTCCATACAGCTATTATGTTACTCACATGTTTTAACAGGTCATATCGATTGCAGGAAATATCTTACAATTTGAAAAGCTTGTCGAATCTTTGAATTCAGCAAAGATCGCAAATATTGGAACAGATTGGAGGATTTAAAAAGCACAATAGGCCTCATCCTCATTCTGCGTTCTTTTGTATGGTCTATTTTGACAAAAACACGAAAGGAAATAAGGGTGCAGCGAAAATCATTCCATTAGTGTTCTCTTTCAGTATTGTTTAGTCAGTTTATGAAAAATTTCCTTTCCACCAAAATCGGCTACAACGATGACGATTGTCACCGTTAGCCTGACCTTGAGATGCTTGTAGTTCATTGTCGAGCTGTTTTTGGAGCACAGGCCGAGAGTAAAAACACGTGTAGAATTATCCTGAGGTGGGTGGAAGCGTTGAGAGATGGTATTTTCAATGTTTAACATCACAGGTCAATACCAGGAAAGAAAGTCTCAAGCATGACAAATTGGTAACGAATGTATGCCGAACATTGCCAAAGCATCTCAGAAAAGTTGCATCGTCAGTTGAATATGACAACGGAAACACGAAGGAAAAAGAAATGCAATCCTTTCTCTGTCTGTCTCTCTCTCTCTTTCTCTCCCTATCCCTCTCTCTCCCCTCCCCCTCTCTCTCTCTCTCTCTCTCTCTCTCTCTCACACGCAGACACACACTCTCTTTCTCTCTCTCTCTCTCTCTCTCTCTCTATATCTCTGTATTGTTTCCTTCCTTTTTTCGCCATCATGCACGATAACAAATTGACAAATTTCTATGAAATCTCCAAAATGAATTCTGATTTCAGGTAAACTAGATCCAATGGCAGTGACAATGAGTTTACTATCTCTTCAAACAGAAAAGAGCATCAGTCGTCCTCAAAGTCATTAATCAATTGAACCTCTTTCCTCCTCATCTAATAATAACATAACAATAAAAACGTTACTTAGAAAGCGCTTACCTGCCACCGAAGTCTCTAAGTGCTATGTACCTCACATTCTGGTTCTTTTCTTCCTTTTTGCAAACATAAACCCTGCATAGATAGTACCTCGTTTAATAGCGTTTGGCTTTGAAGTTTTACACCTAATGTGGAGCTAGATAATGTAATTGTTTTAGAAAACTTGGTTTCAATATCGGTTTTGACAGTCCTCCGTATTCTGACTGAGACAAAAAGGTTAGCACGAACGAAGATACCGGATTTGATATCAATTGATTTTAGTGTCGGTAGTGCTTTGATCATTTAATCGTCCTTAACATGCTTAAAAGTAGAGTTATACCAAGGAAAAAAACTTTAGAGTGAGGGATAGCGTTTACAACATGATACCTCGGACAATGACGTACCGTGAGTCCATCCATTGAGAGGGCACTGGAATGATTGGAGTGGGGTGGGGCTGTGGCACCGGTCTTACCAGGAAAATGACATGCGAATTAACGAGGCTACTGGTGTTAGAGGAGGGTGGGGGAGGTGTTTCAAAAGGTCCACGAGGTCGACAAAACAAAGAACAAAGAAACACATGAGGAGGAATAGAATATGCCGGTGTGTGTAGTGAACCATCAGGAAAGTTGTCCGAATGCCCACAAGACCGACATGGTCGGTCTATATAAAGGATGTCGGTCTCGTGGGCAGTGGGATTGATTTGTGTGACGAGAACTGGCATTAGAGTACGGGAATAGCGTTTCGATTGTATCTCTGTGTATTTTGGTAACTTCAGGAGGTATTTTCCTCCGGTAGAATGACAGCCTGACATCAAAATACACTGGAGATATCAGTTACAGGGAACGTTGAATTTTTGTACAGAGGTAAAACAGTCTGTAAGCTTTCTCGATTTTTATTTCAGTTTGGAAGAAGTCAATATCACCATAAACAAATTTACAATTTTAAACGCAGGAGAGCCCGCAGAAAAATAAGGAATGTGCGACTATAGTCTAGAAGTAGAAGAGAATGGAAAAGGCAAACTTAGAAGAAAGTGTGGAAGTACACTGTGAAAAAAAGAATGAACAATGTGGAACGCTTAGATGGGAACAAAGAATATGAAGAGAGGTAATAGTAATAGTGTAGAGGACAGAGAGAAATAGAGAGAGGCTGGTAATGGATTGAGAAAGGAGTAGAACTAAGGAAAGGCAAACATTGGCTTAATCATACGGGTCAGCCAACTGTCACGCCTTATGTTTCCTCACGAGTGATGATGAATCATCACTTCATCACTTTCACTGTTCATTCAACATCACAGGAGTCACCAAGAGTAAAGAGTCATCATACCTCAGAAAAGGTCAACAAAGGTGCAATTCATATCGTACCTGCATCGCACAAGGCACACTACCCTTTGCTTTAATACGAACAAAATTACGAGTATGATTTTATTATCAAACGAAACCTAACGAATATCAGCTGGAAAACGAAATAAATAGGTGTAAATTGTAAGTTGTACAGTTGTTTTCTTTTCACTGTGTCCTCAAACTATTCGGCAGGCTCCTGGTCATTTTCCATTCTATATTAATGTAGTGGATAGGTAGGCGTAGTTCGTGAATGAGTAAAAATCAGTCGGGCAATTAATCATCTCCTATAATCAAAATCCTATAAACTTGCACCCCCCCCCCCCCCCCCATCCACAACTAACAATATAATATAGATGCCACCATTCTAAAGTATGCCGAGTACATGTACAATCCGCAAAGTATACTACTTCCGAGTGTGTATGTACTCCCGAAAAGCTAACCCCCCCCCCCCCGAACAATCATCCATAGGACAATTTAAATTGCCCCTTTCGCAACAATCTCAAGCCGAGGCGACTGCCCATTCAGGAAAACTGCCCACAAAATGACTATACCTTGTATACTAATAATTGATAAGTATGATTATAGTAATAATTTGGTCTTTATACAATTCACGGTCATGAGTGTAGTCACATAAGTATTAATGAGTGCTCTTCCTGAAGGCGCTGAAATTATAATTCCCCCAGCATTGACCGTATCCATTCACACCTGGTGGAGAGGGACACCATTTGTGGGCACAACACATTGTCCAAAGATGTAAGCATCGAGCAAGGATTGGACCCAGAACCTCTTGTAAGAGAGTCTAGAGCCTTCACCAATATACCAAGGTGCTCCTACCAGCTACTCCTCCCGAGAGTATGCATTGGTAATCGGTATACATGTATTAACACTCTGATGGTCCTAGGTGTCGTGGTATATAGTGGTTCAATCATTTCACTCTCATCCGAAGGGTGGAGGGTTCGAATCTCAACACCCTGATGGTCCTAGGTGTCGTGGTATATAGTGGTTCAATCACTTCACGCTCATCCGAAGGGTGGAGGGTTCGGATCTCAGCGCGGTGGTAACGTCCTATTAAATAAGACATAAATCCACAGCTGCCACTCTCCTCCCTGGTGTAAATGGGTACTTGGCAATCACTGGGATAATAACAATTGTAGGGTTCTCAGGAAGAAAAGCATTAAAGCTGATCATGCTGATAATGCTTCCTTCGCTAAATAAAATTATTATTAAAGGGTAAAGGTTTCGCAGGGCTATTTCGTCCGGGGGCGTATGTCGAATTCTATAATCATTCCAAGTGCAGTTGCCTATATTGTTGTTGTCCATGCAGGCTTCAGGTTTTTGACGAATCTTCCGATAATCAGGCAATACGACAGCTACGACCGAAGTAATTGACATTGGTATT